TATAACTGGCGGTCGGGTTGTTATAATCATGGTCGGTTGGTTAATCATGGTCCTGGGTTGTTGGTAACTGGCGTTCGTGGGTTGTTATAATCGGCGTCGTGGTTGTTGTAATCGCGGTCGTGGTTGTTATAATCATGGTCGGTTGTTAAACGCGGGTTGCTTATAATCATGGTTCGTGTGGTTGTTATAATCATGGTTCTCGGTCTGTTATGTAACCGCGGTCGTGGTTTTATAATCATGGTCGGGTTGTTATAATCATGGGTCGGTTGTGGTACTGGGTGCTGTTATAATCATTGTCGTGGTTGTTATAATCATGTTCTTGGTTGTTATAATCGCGGTCGTGGGTTGTTATAATCATGTTCGTGGTTGTTATAATCATGGTCGTGGTTGTTATAATCATGTTCTTGCTGTTATAATCATGTTCTTGGTTGTTAGTAATCATATTGTGGTTGTTATAATCATTGCCGGGGTTGTTATAATCATGTTCTTGGTTGTTGAAATCATGGTCGTGGTTGTTATAATCATGTTCGTGGTTGTTATAACTGCTCGCGGTTGCGATTGGGCTGTGGTGTTATAATCATGGTCGTGGTTGTTAATCATGTTCGTGGTTTTTATAACTTACAGTTCGGTTGTTATAATCGGCGTATTGTTATAATCATGTTCGTGGGTTATATATAATGGTATTGGTTGTTATAATCATTGTCGGTTGTTATAATCATTGTCGTGGTTGTTATAATCATGTTCTTGGTTGTTATAATCATGGTCGTGGTTTTTATAATCATGTTCGTGGTTATAATCATGGTCGTGGTTGTTATAATCATGGTCGTGGTTGTTATAATCATGGTCGTGGTTGTTATAATCATGGTCGTGGTTTTTATAATCATGTTCGTGGTTGTTATAATCATGGTCGTGGTTGTTATAATCATGGTCGTGGTTGTTATAATCATGGTCGTGGTTGTTATAATCATGGTCGTGGTCGTGATACTTGCAGGTTAGAATAATAAGTTAAAGAAATATTCGCCATAAGGAGAGGTTAAAATCATAAAAAAAAAATTATTTTGAATTACCGATGATCATTCCGAGATAAATTATATTATGAAGAGAAGTGACCTTGATTCTGGTTAGATTAGTCACCATCTGCTTAAGTCATCACCTGTGTTAAGTCATCATAGTCATCATGTACATTAGTCAGTGTTAGGCCCATCTCACATGACTGACCGACCATCGATGTTCTTTCCGCGCGAGGGTGTTAGTTTTCAAGTGGTCTTATTATTTACGCTGGTGGATGTAAGACCTACCCTTACTGACGCAGCCATGATCAATTTGGTGTTATTCTTGTTTATAAATTCCTTCTAATCTGTCTTAAGTCTATCCGTCCTCTCTATTGCCATTCCAACCGTCTGTTCGTCTGTGTGGTGTTTGAATGTAAACCCGTCTGTACTCTTGTGTCGTCAAATCTGTCTGTCTTATCCGTTGTTGGCGTGTGTCTGCCTGTTTGTTTAATGTGAACCAGTCAGTCAGCTGTTCATGCTAGTTGCCATATTGTCTATTTGTGCATGTATGAATCTGTCTATTTTTGTCAACCTCCTGTCTGTTTCACTGTCTATATTCACCCTGTGTCTATTGTAGTCATCTCCATGCATTCCTGTTATTATCTTTTTATCTCTTCTCTTTTTCCATGTACAATCACCCACAGGAATAAGTATACACTGTAGTTGTAAGGTCGTTTGGTAACTTTGAAACTGCGCATCCAGACGCATGATGAAACTGAGCTTCCCCCCACCTGTTATCTCTAACTATTTTCTGTTTCCCCTTCTTTATTCTTCTATTTACTCATCTTCCTTCCTTTACTAATCCAAACAACATTAAAAAAAAAAAGTAGGCTAAGAAAAAAAGTGGGGGGGAGGAGGAGCGAGCCGTACGATAACTGCAATCGTGGGCTGACAGCGAATGAGGGTGCGCCAAGTCCGTAGACTTGCATCGTTTTCCAGCGTAAATAAAATGGTTATGTAATGGCTTCCTAAAGAAACCATCGATATGGGACCAGGTTTGTTCCACTCTACGAATGTTTTGTGATTTTTCCACCAAGTTTGAAGAAAAACGATTGTGCCGTTTCGGCTGTCCAGAACACACACACACACACAAACAGACACACACCTAGTCCTATAGTATATTAGATATAGAACTACAGTACTAAATTTCTATTGGTACTGACCGATGGGCGGAGGTGGTAGAGCGAGTGTGTGGTGGGTTGTTGAACGAAGGAGGAGAATGGCGGGAGCGGAGGAGGAGGAGGGTGGTGAGCCACTGAGACTGCGGCTACCTCCTCCTCCTCCTCCTCCTCCTCCTCCTCCTCCTCCTCCTCCTCCTCCTCCTCCTCCTCCTCCTCCTCCTCCTCCTCCTCCTCCTCCTCCTCCTCCTCCTCCTCCTCCTCCTCCTCCTCCTCCTCCTCCTCCTCCTCCTCCTCCTCCTCCTCCCTCCTCCTCCTCCTCCTCCTCCTCCTCCTCCTCCTCCTCCTCCTCCTCCTCCTCCTCCTCCTCCTCCTCCTCCTCCTCCTCCCTGTTCTGACTGGGGTTCCTCCGCCGCTGCTTGCTCCTCCTCTTCCGTTGTTGGTTGGAATGTCTCAGCAGCAACCGTATCTAAACTGGCAGCTTCACCAGCTATACCGATGCTTAAATCGTTGAAACCAGCCTCAGCTGACCGTAATGGTCTCTTCCTTAGTTCCTTCACCCTCTGTTTCCTTCAAGTCGTCAAACAAGATCTGGCTTTATGCTGGATAACCATAAGGCTCACAGGGGCATTGCGTTGATTCTGGTCCTCCATCCACATTGCCAGCATCTTTTCCACCTTCTCTATCACAGTGCTTTCAGTACGAGTCGTCTTAGTAGCACTCAGAGAAGAACCACTTCCAGCACTAACCTTAATCTTGTCAGCATTGGTCCGGATAGTACGCACCATTGTGGGGGTTAGACCAAGCACAGCGGCTATGTCCACAGCACGTTCCCCTTTTTCGTAGCACGGGTAATGGTCTTACGTTGCCTCTTCACTACACTAGCATCGGTAACACTTGATGGGCGCTTGGAAGCCATTTCGAATGGTTATAGTACAGATTTAGAGCAAAATCACTTAAGCACACATGAATGATGTGAAGTCGTAACACAGACTGGCTTGGGGATGCTGAGACGTTTTGCGAGTGAGGGCGCCGAGCCGAGCCGAGAGAGTGTAGCGCGACCAGACAAGAGCAGGTGATGCGCCGGAGAAAGTAGTCCATGTCGACGCAAAATGACGTAGTATCGGATCACTGGGACGTTAAACGAATTTTTGGTCTCTAAAGTTCAGCGACATAGTACCAAAACAATGTTAAGCGGGACTACGTTAAGCGAGGACTTACTGTATTACTTTAATACAACATGATAACATGGACAAACAATGAAAATGAAACAAACAAAAGTAGGCATTTATGTTGAGAAAGTTTCCCTGTGGCCGAGCGTGTGGCGTGACAGGCAAATAATCACACTAGAACCTGATAACCCGTGCTGGGCCTTTAAACAGTAGCGGGAAAAGGCGAGCGTTCTGGAACGTCACCCAGGGCGCGCTAGTCGGGTATTCTGGAACGTCATCCAGGGAGTGAGGGTTAATTGCGGTGAGGTAAGTAATAGGCCAGACCCTGAGCGTCTTGTGGGAGAGTGCCTACCCAAACCCAAAAGTGTAAATATTACATGATTTTATGTAGAAATGCTCCTTCCAACTACATACATTTTAAGCTCTCCATCTGAATCTTAGTTTCCTTTCCCTAAGGGAAGAGGTTAGGAGGAGACCTGCAGGTTTTACAGCTGCCCTCTGTAGTGAGGGTTCCAAGTGTTATGGGTTTTTGTGTATTTCTTTCTGAGCAGTTTGCCATAATAAGATTATGATGAAGATTTTTTCATGATAACAGTCAGTAGACTAGAAGATTGTTTATCACAACTCTCTTAATGTCCAGGCTCGGTTAAGTATTGCAGTTCATCACTTCATTGCTACAACTGCACTGAACATAGACCTTGAATCTATAGCTTAGTGAGGTACAGGTAGCATTATTACAGTCATTGCCACCAAGACATAAACCCTTACTTACTCTCACAAACACGATTCCATTCTTCAATTTAATACAGTACCAGGTAATCCCCCTATTATACCGTCCTACACAGACAACATCCTTGGTTTTAATATAACTAACACTACTGGAACTATAACATTTCTAACATTGCAAAAGAATGCATCCAAAAAATAGGTTACTGTATTTATTTTGGTCTTGTTTTTTCTTTACATCTAAGCAGAACTTTTTGACCAATTACAAATACCATATCTGTCATCACATATACTGCTGTCACATGTGGGATGATACCTCACAGTTTCTACTGATCATATTAGACATTGTAATGAAAAGCTACTTGTCTTACTAGAAACTAACTATTTTTTTTCCTCCATAATTCATTCTCATGTAAGGTAATGTGTTTCTTCACTGTTATTTTTAATGTCATTCCATTTACAACACCCATCATTCAATATCATGCCATTTCTATTTAGTGTAATTTCTATCATCTTAAAATTTGTCATCAGTTACAGTACCCCCTTTATTACTTCCACTATTTGTTTATGGAATTCCCTGCCCTCTCACATCTTTCTGCTAGCATACAATTTACAAATCTTTAAAAGTACGGCTTACACCCACTTCTTATTACATAAAGAAATTATGCATTTCTATTTATTTTTTCCATGGTGTACTGTACAAGCATGACTTAAATATACATCTCTCATTTCTGACTTTTCTTTTTCAGAATGCAAACTGTCTTGTTTACTTCCTCTAATTCATTAGTAGAGTGGAAAATATCTTGTAAGGTGGGGAATAATTGTTCTTTCACAAAATCATTCAATATCTCTGGGTCCTTGTATTATGCTCTCTATGTACATCACAGGTATTATGTTTCTGTTATGGCACCTGGCTGCTTGAGAAAAGAAATTATCATTAGTTGATATTGCAGGTTCCCTGATGAGATGGACAAAGCCAGTCGAACTCAAGAGAAAGTTTTAGCCAAGATGGAGGGCTTACGGAAGAAACAATCATGTTCTCCAGAAGAGTTGAACAAACTTCGAAAAATGGTGGACAAACATCACAGAGTTATTACAACAGAACATCGACAACAGAGACGCAATGAGCGTAAGAATGGTAACTGGAAAGCAGGAAAATCAAAGAAAATCAGCATTGACAATAAGGTATATCTGATAAAATTCACTTTTTTTCTTCAGAAGACAGTTAAATAATAGAGAGTTTCAAATTTGGGACAGGGTAATAGAGAAGTGGAGGGAATTTTTAGGACAAGGATTACCAAGGCTGTGTTCAGCTTGGCAATACAGTACACTCACTATGTAGCGTGGGCTTGGCTGGGTACTGGACAGTATTGCATGATCATATTTCCACTTACCATGCAAAGCGAGCCATAGTCAGGAGGTGGGAAGGAGGTACAGTGCGATGATGTGAGCTTCCCTCTTCCTTGAAGCCAATGTAAGCCATTATTTACGTCTTTGGCAAATTTGCCGTAAGTTTGTGATAATAGATTGTGATAATTTGGTTTGTTTTTCAGTATTTTATTATTAGTAACACAATTTTTGTGCTTAGTGGACTACTGCTCATCCCAGACTCCCTAGCTAGGCACCTCCTCTTACGGCGCTCGGCCTCCCATCCGTAATACGGGCGCATCGGATGCAGGTAGTAGGTAGTAAGCAGCTACCAAACAGGGAGGTACTACTGCCTGGGAAGATATTGGAAGCATTATGTGTTGTCTAACGGTAGACCCTGGTCCCATATGGCATCACAAAAATTGTGACCAAGTCCCAGGTTGCTGACCTGACTTTCTGCCTCATTTACACACAATTGCAGGGCCTCAGTTGTTTCTCTTACTTGGACAACACAACATACATAATGTATATCGTTTCTCACTCTTGAATTATTTTTTTTTCGTTTTTTATTTATTTATTTATTTATTTATTTATTTATTATTATTATTATTATTATTATTATTATTATTATTATTATTATTATTATTGTTATTATTGTTATTATTATTATTATTATTATTATTATTATTATTATTATATTTTTTTAATTTGCTATTAATTTTATTAATTGTTGTAATAAAAATAATAGATAGTATTATTATTATTATTATTATTATTATTATTATTATTATTTATTATTAACATATTTTCGCCCCCCAGGCAAATACGGTATTTCATTGACTCTAGTAATGATTCAGTGTTTCTTATTATGTTATTGTAGGTAAATACATGGTTTATATGATTTGTTTATCACCGAGCCCATCACCATTTTCAAATTAGACTACAAGATATGTATTTCTCCCATATGTACGCCTGGCAACGGGAGCAGTAAGGGGAGTGATTAACTGCGTTTACTAGTTAGCACGTCGTCTGCTCTTGTAACTCTCCTCGCTCCCTGCAATATTTCTCTGGCCTTACTGTTATTATTAGTGTTTACTGATATAATGGTGCTTAATAGTGATTAATCATGGCGTTGTAGCCAGGTTAGACTTATCACAGTAACCACCAGGCTACTGGGCCAAGTGTAAGGTGTTATGGTTGTTTTCAACTTTTATTTTTGGGTAGATACAGTCATTTCTGCTACAACGCGTGTTTTGCCAACTCGAATTGGTTGTAACGCGATTGATGAATAGGGAACACTGTTTGTAAAATGTGAACTTTTGCATATGAATGTTGGCTATAGCGTGATTCCATCCTCAACGTTTTAAGTGTAGCGTGGCGCGGGGTTATGCAATGTTTAAAGTTCACGTTCGACAGCACATGTTCAATTGATTCGTGTGTTTTGTTTGTGAAGTATTTTTTGAGAGGTACTGTACTCTAATTTTTTTTCTTTTTTTGCAAATTTAGCTGTTACCCATAAATACTGTATGAAAAGAATAAGTAAAAAGAATGTTTCGCAATGCGGACTAATAACGGTTTACACCAGCGCTCTCTGTTTACATCACGTGATCAGTTGAATCGCGCGGCTTCTGTCGATTGCTCTGTGAAGTGTCCGTGATTTTCACTGTTTTCTCCAATTTTGTTGTGTTAGTCATGAATATGGAAAGGCAAGGTAAGAAGAATGTTTCCAAGAAGCATTCTGGCGATCGAATTGCTGGTGGTGAACGTAAAAAAAAGGCTATAACACTTGAAGAGAAGCTCGATGTGTTAGGCTAACTTCTATAATTGTTTCGATTTTGAGTAATCTGCACCTAACCCTATTTTCTCCATAAGCCCTGTTACTTTTATTGCGTGAATTTCAATAGCGCAAGGTAGCGTTGTAGCAGAAATGACTGCTGTATACGTAACTTTCTTCATTTATTTTAACTCAGTTACAAGCACACACCATCCAACATACATATTGTGAAAAAAGGTAAAAGAAATAATTGTCTTAAGGGCAAACTCCTAAAGGGAATATACAGTACATTTCTTTGCACACAGATTAGCTGGCTCAGTGAGGCAGCAGGAGAGTGCTGAGTGTAGGGTGTGAGGAGGGTTGCTAGGGAATAGGCGTACCAGCTGGTCTTCATTACAGGTTGACAACCCTTTATCCAAAATTCCAAAAACCGAAAGTTTTTTTGTGGAGCAATTTTTTTTTTTTTTTTTTGTAACAGCCCACTCGGGCACAGGTCACTGACCCACATCGGGGCCTGGGGGGTGAAAATGTAATAGTAATAATAATTATAATAATAATGATAATACAGTAATAATAATAATTATTCTTAGTAAATAAAAATTTTAATAAAAAATTCACAAAAATAAAATAAGAATGATAACAATGATAATAATAACAATAATACTGTAATAATAAAATAATAATAATAATAATAAAAAAGAAATACAAGAATGAAAAAAGATCAAAAGTGAGAAACACGACCTAGACCTATGAATTATTATTATTATTGTTGTTATTATTATTATTATTATTATTATTATTATTATTATTATTATTATTATTATAATAATAATAATATTAATAATAATAATAGCCCCCAGGCCCCAATGTGGGTCAGTGACCTGTGCCCCGGTGGGCTGATCCCTGTATAATAAAAAAAAAAAAAAAAAAAAACTAACCATTCTGAAAACCGAAAAATTCCAAAAACCGAAATGCATCTGGTCCCAAGGATTTCGGATAAGGGAAAGTGAAAACTGCGTAAAGTGAACAACAGAACATATGGGATTAATTCCAATAGAGAATGGCCCGACCCCCAAACTCCACTTTTTCCGACACAATACCTATGTTGTAGTAAAAATAACATCTAAATTTTATGATGGTATGCTCACACAATTAATAATTAAGAGAAATACAGTCGCCAGGTTAATGTCCATTCAAATAATGGACTCAAATCCCTCCACCCTCCCTCTTCCCAGCTCACTAGCTCCTACCCCTCTGAGAAATGTTTGGGTGAAACCACTAGATTTTAACGTTTAGTAATAAATAATACCTCAGACTAAAGTTAGGAAAATATAATTGACATTAATGGATTCCTTGCAGGTCAGGGAATATTTTGAATGTAAACTTCATATATTTTGCACTCAAGATAAAATATTTGCTTTGTGTAAACCAAATTATTACATTAGATCTAAAATTTGTATGTCTAATGTAAAATCCATGATGTTTATATTCAAAATGATCATCATATTGTAAGAATTCCAGCAATGTAAATTATATTCTGGCCGAGTAATTTGTATGAATTTTATGAGCTAAAACAAATATCTTCAGGTAATAAAAAAAAAATATTCTTCACTACACTATCTGTCAATCAAAGTACCCAACCTTGCCTCCCCCCCTCCTCACACCCACGCCAGCTGGGTCGGTCGGTCCCTCCCTCCCCCCCACCCCCCACCTTCCCTCCCTACCAGAGAAATGTTTGGGTGAAAAAACTAGATTTTAACTTTTAGTAATAAATAATACCTCAGACTATAGTTAGGATAATATAATTGACATTTCTGGATTCCTTGCAGGTCAGGGAATATTTTGAATGTAAACTTCATATATTTTGCACAAAAGATAAAATATTTGCTTTGTGTAAACCAAATTATTACATTAGGTCTAAAATTTTTATGTCTAATGCAAAATCCATGATGTTTATATTCAAAATGATCATCATATTGTAAGAATTCCAGCAATGTAAATTATATTCTGGCCGGGTAATTTGTATGAGTTTTATGAGCTAAAACAAATATCTTCAGTAAATAAATAAAGAAATATTCTTCAAGGATACTATCTGTCAATCAAAATACCCCACCTCTGCCCTCCCTCCCTTCCTACCTCCCACCCCCCACTTTCCCTCCCTACCAGAGAAGCGATTGGGAGAAAATAGTGTATTTACATTTTTAGTAATAAATAATAACCCAGACTAAAGTTAGGATAATATAATTGACATTTCTAGATTCCCTGCAGGTCAGGGAACATTTTGAATGTAAATTCATATATTTTGCACAAACGATAAAATATTTGCTTTGTGTAAACCAAATTACAGTCAACCCTCACTTTACGCGGTTAATGTAACCCACAGGGTACCGCGGAAAGTGAGAAACGCGTAAAGTGAATAACATAACATATGGGATTAAATGAAATAGAGACCAGCTGACCCCCAAACTCCACTTTTTCCAACACAATACCTATGTTCTAGTAAAAATAACATCTTAATTTTATAATGGTACATGCACACAATTAATACTTTAGAGAAATACAGTTGCCAAGTTAATGTCCATTCAAATAATGGACTCAACTCCCTCCCCCTCTTCTCTCACTACACTCGCTGGCTCTTCCCTCTCTTGAGAAATTTTGGGGAGAAAACCAGGTATAGTAATAAATAATACCTCAAACTAAAGTTAGGATAATATAATTGACATTGCTGGATTCCTTGTAAGACCAGGAATATTTTGAATACAAATGTCATATATTTTGCACAATATATAACATATTTACTCAGAGTACCGTATATCACGGCCTATAAGGCGGCGGGGTGCATAAGACGCCCCCCCCCCCCAAATTTCCATTTAAAAAGTAGCTTTTGAGCTCTATTTGCTGTATAAGACCAGTACCCCAAATGTGACACTTACCCACTGACTCAGTAGTCCTTTACCAACCATCCTTGATTTTTTAAAATAAGGCCAATTCACTTCAAGTAATGTCATCAAATTATACCCGCTGGTGTAGTGTAAACACTAGT